ACTACTACTACTAGTGCTACTATTACAGTTATACATACTGCGACTACTACGACTACGCCTGCGACACCAGCACCAGCATCCGCAGCAGCCACTGCAGCATCAGGCAGGCATCAGCAGCAGCAGCAGCAGCAGCAGGAGCAGCAGCAGCAGGAGTACCGGTAGTACCAGTGGCAGCCGTTGTAGCAGTAGGGAGAGGAGGTTGCTGCGTCGCCTCAGCAATCCGCGGCGTCTGCTCATCATCGGCTGAGGCCCGGCAGTCACAGCCGTGCCATCTGCGGATCGAGCAGATTGTTCCGAGTGAGTTTGAGCACTCTTAAGAATGCACTCCTAAGAATGGGTTGGATACAAGAGAGTCAAGACCGTGGTGAAATTATGGTAATTATGGTGACCAGGCCTGTGTGAGCAGAACGGGACACGCCCTCGCCACGCTTTGGGCTGGACTCCTCCACGGCAACGCCGGGAAGGCCTTTCGAGACGATGCGTTTAGGACGTTGAGGGTGTGAAGGCAGTTGCATTCAGTGCACTTATGCCTAGCACTTCCGTGGCTTGGATGCAAAATCTTGCTTAACGTCTCTGTTGAGGTAACTCGAAGTTAGGGCGTGCTTTTCAGCACACTCAGGTCGGCGACGCCACACAAAGCTGCAGACATACTCGAGTGAACGCACAGCTTCGTACCACGTTGCCAATTGGCTAAGTGTGCCGACTTCGCCACGAACTTGAGCCCAGTGTGCTGAATTGTGCTGAGAACTACGCCCTAATTTTGAGTTACCTCGACGGACCCGTCAATCGTCAAGCACAATTTCGCTTCCAAGCCACGAGAGTCTTGTAAATGCAAGCGCTTTGGACAAGGTGCCAAAACAGACATGTGACGCCGCCGCTCGGCCAAATATCAACGTGTCACCCTCTAGGTCTGAGGTACTTTTGGACCCCTTTTTTTCTAGACTCTAGACCAAACCGCCTCGTCGGGCAGGTCGAGGCCACGGCCTTGTGCAAGGAGGCGATTTGGGCAGCACGAGACTCAAGAGACTCAACTTGGTTCTTTTAGAAGAAGCCACTGCTGAACATCACCGGTTCGTTTCAATGACATGCGAAACGAACCCTCTGTTGCCCGAAGAATCTGGGACTGCATACCGGCAGTCGGGGCCGATGAAGTCCAAGTGAGCGTTCTTCACCTTATTGTCTTTTCTCGGCCATGTGCATTCCCACGCATTCCCCCCCGCAGAGGAAACTCTACAAAGCTCTGTTCATGCACCAAATCCAGAAGGTTCCAAGATCCCATAGTATCAGAGGCGCACCAGATGAACCAGCACGCCAAAATCGGTCTCGGCCAGAAGCCACGGTCTCAAACACCTGATCTCGGTGTCCGGACTGGACCGCTCCCGTGTCTTGAGGCATTCGGCCACTACAGGGGATGTGGGACGATGATCCGGGACTTCGAGGCACTCAAACAGGGCTGGAAAGGTTCAGCTCGACAATATTCTTTGGCAGCTGCAGGAGTCCGAAACCCTCGGACGGCTGTCAAGCAAGGTTCACATGTTCGACAAGACAAGACAAGCCAAGAAAGGATCATGAAGCTGCAACGCTCATACAGACTCATACACCCACAATTCAGGGCAAAGCCGAACGACAAACCTTCGAATGTCTCTGATTGCAAACTGGAGTCTAGCTGACCAAAGCCTAGGCCACTTTGACGCCGGGCCGCCTCAATCTGGCGAGTATCAGGCGGTAGATCACGCTGTAGCCTGAAGCCAGGCGCTTGTTACATCGGCACACAGATGGCACACAGCACGGCCGAGGGAGATCCGATTGATGCGCAGGGGGGGTCCTTTTCGTCCCTCGCCGATTGCAGAAGCGGATGCTTGGGATCTTTGGCCCAACCTGTAGCTCCGTAGCGGTGCGAAAGGTGCACCGCTGCAGCTCCACAACCAACGTCATCCAGAAAAACAGTATAGGATCATCAGTCGGTTAGTCGATTTGTCATAGAAGCGACGAACTGCCTAGCTTTGGCGCCTTCCTGGGTGAAACACGACGCCGGCCAAACGCACTGCAGTCTAAACATTTGCGAATAGATCGACATGTGGATGTTTCATGGAGCTGAGCACCTTTTTCGGATGCTTTGCTCACTTCTGTGCGACATGCCGGGTCAGGTTCAAGCATGTGCACTTTGGCACAGAATTGCGTTCACTAACTCGGAGGAACATCATTGCAAAGCTTGCCTTTGCTGCGACAGCCATGGACCCAGTCATGGCTTCTCCCGAGTGTACAAAATCTCTTGTAATTCTGGCATGTCTCCCTCAATCCTCAATTCCTTCCCTACTGCTCGCGAGCGGCGGGGAATCTGGCCTGCTGAGTGACGGCCTCGGAGGATTTAGGACAGATGTTGCGGAATTTGCCTTGCATCTTGCTCTGCGTTCATTCGGAAGCAGCCTAAGACGCTGGCAAATCCCGTGGTCCCCGGGCACGCCGGGCAGAGGAAGCACCTGAGGAAGTGTCGGATGTGTTTCGGATCGTTTCCTTGTCGACATGTTCGTCTCGGGGCGCGGGGGGCACCCGGAACGCAGCTGGCAAAGCTGATGTGTTGACACCCTTGGCTTAAGAGCGCTGGGTGTAAATGACTCAGCTTTCAATCAGGGGCCATTTTGAGTTCGCCAAGCGGCGCTCGTAGGGAACAGGGCTTGGCGACTGTGTTTGCAAGAATGCAGGATCCCGATCCAGCAGCACCATGCCTCGGGTTTCCGACTTGCAATTGTGTGGTGCCACGCGACGGAAGAAAAAACTCCAAGCGCGACAACGTCCTGTGACTAACCGCTCCCTACCGGGACACATCAAACAAGGGCAATCCTTTTCCTTGATTCGAAGGAGCCCTTGATATCCACTTTCTTGTCGCAGCTCACGCATCTGGCATGGAGTGGCGTGCGCCAGATTGCAGCGTTTGACTCCTGCAAGGAAATGGTCTTGCCGTGCAAAAGCCTTCTCTGTCCCTCAAACCCTTCCGTCTGTCCTTCTCACCAGCTATGAGCTTCTCGAAATTCTGCCACAGCATCTGCAACTGTCCATGTAGAAGCCGCATCTGCTCTGCGAGAAATTCGGTGTCGTCTATTTGGGCCTGCATCCAAGACTGTCTCGTTTTTTGGTCCATAGAGCCTGAAATCTGCTGCTGCGCCTTGTCGGCCATTGTCCGGAAAAACTCATCTCTCAGCCTGTGGCTGCATGTCACCGCTTGCAGAGTTCCTTCTCCGGTCCGAGCTCTCTGCCTTTCCAATTCACTGCGCATCACCTCAAGCCATGCGCGACACTGGAAAGGCGGGACAAGCCATCGCACATCTTCAGCCCAGCTTGAGCTGCCCCAGTGCAAGCCCATCCCAAGCTGATTGCAGATCAGTGTCGGCTTCGAAGGCACTGAAGGTCTCCCTCAGCACATGGGGCGACCTTGGGGGTAAAGCAATGATTGCTGTCGCCTTGGCACACGATCTTCCAAAAAGCTTCTTGCCTGTTTACAGACGCAAAGTTAAGGTGGACAGAGCAAAGGCATGTCCCAATAGTTTAGGCTGCCGTTCCACTGTCGACTTGGCGGACTCTGTGACTGTGGGCGGCCGTGAGGCACGAATGGCATTCCAGACTCTCCGCCGAACAACAGTTTCTGCATGGCGACCAGCACGTCCATCTAACAGGGCTCACTTTGCAACTTTCACATGCGTATCAAGAAACGATATAACAACCAACACACACACACACACTCAGAGACTACGCACATGCAGGTGCTTGCTAAACCTTGTGGTCTCTGATTAGGCTGACTGCGACCTTGGACTCTAGATGCCTGCAGATCCTCATTCTGATCTGAATGCATGTCTTTGACTCACGCGCCAGTCCTCTGTTCCCTCTCCAGTCTCGCCCGTGCCGCCGCCGTGGCGTCGCAGAAGCTCGCTTAGAAGTTGCAAGAGTTGCGGCAGCGCTGCCTCAAATCGCGTCTGCCTGGACAGGCCGCAGGGTTGCAGTGTCGGCATACTGACATTGCACCCTACACGCCCTACACCTTACAAGGTCCTACAAGTATTGCTTCTGGAAGGCTGCCGGGCAGCAATCTGGAGAAGTCTCTCACAGCATCTTCCATTTTCGAGGAGAGTATGCCCAGAGTTCGCTGGTCCCCGGACACTGCGCACCACAAGTCAGAGAGGCTGCGCTTTATGTCTTCGTCCCCCTCGAACCTGCGACCACAGCTGCAGTCGAAGGATTTCGAAGGTCGAACATCCCTCGGTATTAGCGAACCAAACATGCACAGACGAGGCAGGCGCAGGCTGGACAGAGCGAATCGTGTAAAAGCATCGAGTGCATATCTTTTTTTTGAAGCAGGCCTCTACAGCTATGCCTGCTCCTCCAACCTTGAGCTCATGTCAGGACAGGAAGGTCAAGGAAGAAAGCAGTCACATGTGAATACCATGTTTCTGGAATGACATCAAGTTCGAGGCAAATTGCCATGATTTGTAAGCATACTGCGGAAAAGACTGTGCGCCTCACCTAAGACTCCCTGCAAACCAGCATCTGTCATAAGAAGTTGCACCGCGAAGACCCGCTTCAACATCAGCATATGGGGAATGGCCCAAACTATCGCGCTGTGCAAGCATGTCCCATGACAGCTACAAGTTTGATGCCCTCCGCAGGATGCACCCACTGAAAGCTGTATGATGCGCCACTCCGACAGAACGGGGCAAGTATGTAGACATGGAACGCGATGTCCGACGGCGCAGATGTCGCCACTCTGTGGGAACACATACTTTTGGAGGTTTACTGTACGTGTCAGCCGGTTTGTGCCTGTATTCTCTGTCTGGCTGACTCGAGGGGCATCGGGTGTGGTAAACGAGGGTTGGGGTCCATCGAAGCATGATGCACCTCCTAAGCCATGCAAAACACTTCGGTTTCGGGTCTACCGAAAACCTCACACGGGGTCAGGTTTGTACTTGTATATATGTCGAGAAGTGCACTCACCACGTATGACTAGAAGGAGCCAGCACATAACATGTCGAAGCTTACAGCAAATGAGGCTCCTCATAAACACGCTTCGTACCACTTTGGAGTCTCCTCCGAGCTATGTTTGGGGATCCCCGGTCCTGCGAGGTGATCCCAACTTTGGGGAACCTCGGCAAACAGCCCAAGTGGGCTCGCAAGCGATCAAAGGAAAGCACATCGTCAGCTTGTCAGGCTCTGAAATCTTGAACCATGTGTGCGGTCGAGATGCCCTCGGCGTAAGGCGGGCTCTTTGGCTCCGTCGGTCCGACTTGCATGTCGGGGATTTGGACCAGCCTCTGCCGGGACCCGATATCCATCAGCCGATTTATGATATGACCTCGTCTAACGGCTAGCGCAGGCAGCCACAGGCAATGCCGAGCGGCTGTTCCAGTACACCGACTCGATTGCGCAGCCGATGGACCTCTTCACCTGACACTTTCTGAATGCTAAGCCTTGAACCTCTACATTCCTGTAATTATGTACGTGGGTATGACACCATCAGACCACGCGGATTTTGAATCGAATTGCCCGCCAAGCTTGGAAGTGCAGGCCAGGAGACGCAGTGATAGCACCTGGCTGATGCTAGCCGGACTCGGGCCAGTCTGGTTGCCGGCAGTAGCCGCAGGAAGCGCCCCTGCGAAGCATCTGAAAGCAGGTTCTGCTACCAAACCCTCATGACACGATCCCTCCCACCACAAGCCAGCGGCGGGACGTATCTAAAGTACTGGGCGGCACGGCATGCAGGGTACCGAACTTGAGGCTCCACCCTCCACCCAGCTTGAGGCCAGCACCTGAAAACACCGGACGCGAAGTTTCGAGTAGTGATAGCCGCCTCAGCAGAAGATGATACCCGCAAGGCCAAGCGATTGCCGAGCCACCCTGAACTGAGCTGAACTGTCTGCTCGCAGGGTGCCGACTTGATGCTGTAGCACTGTAGCGTAGGAACTCCCCAGGCCCAAGAAGACCCTTCAGACCCTGCAAGGAGAAGGGTCCCCCAGAAGCTGCAAATCTGCGAGCCAATGCACAACACTGATATGAGGTTGACAACACTGAGCCTGCTGCATCCCGGCTACGTACGTCTGCTCTTTAAAGCCCTTTTCATGCCAGTTGCTCTTCCAAGCATGCCCCCTCGAGGGCCGCCACACGACCAACCAGAGCCGCATCCTCGAGGGCAGCAAGGCGCGCGGCCAAGTTTGAGGTACCTCATTCGTTCCGTTGCCGCACCCGACATGGAGACGGCGCATTCTGCAGACCGAAGTAATGTGTGCCAGCTGGCTGATCTCGAGGTTCGACAGCTTTTCAGCAGACTCAGCTGCAGCAACCACGTCCTCACCAGCCTGGATCAGCTCAGACCCGCTGTTAGATCAGAAGAGATTGGAGGCGACATGCCAGACTCAACTCTCCACGCCTGGGAAGGGACGTCAGAGGTGCTGCTGCAAAGGGAGTTGTGCTTCTGGTTCGGCGGTGGCACCAGGTCTCGGACAAGTGCAGAAGCCGAGCCGGCTTTGCACCAAGGCACGCCGCACAAGCAAGCCATGAGTCACGAGTGACAAGTACAAAAAGCACCGCAGACGCGTGAATCCAAGACGACTGTGCAAAGTGCGAGCTTGCCCACTTCTTTCAAATTCTGACGGTTCATTCTTCACTTCAAGCCAGGCCTTGTACCATGTCTGTGACCTGGTTCCTCATCCAGGCCCTCAGCTTCTTCAAGAGCAGAAGCTTCCCACAGACCCCCACA